GGAGGGAGCAGCTGAGAGATGCTGGCCGACATCGGAGAGCCTCAGTCGGATCAACCGTTCGCTAGATCCCCCTGACTCCATGGAGCTTTGATATCCAATATCACTGCGGTGATGCCAACCCCTCTCAACTCGAGTAGGCTACTTATCTTAGTTTAAAAGTAAAAATACTCATTCCATTTGGCAGATCACTTTATTTATCTACTCAAATTAATGCTAAATACGCTTCATTTAAGAAATTTTTGCTCATTTCTAGATCGTTTTTGCAGTGTGTGCCAAATTTGGACCAAATGTAAAATGTATATACATACCGATATTCGGTTTTGGGCGATAAGTATTCAACATGATTTGAGTTAAAAAGAAATACAAAAAACAAAACAAAAATAATAATTTATCATTTATATACAACATTTTTCCTATGATTAAACCAATTATGCAGGGGCATTAGGTACTCTGCAGCTAAACTGATACAAGATGCTACAAACAAAAAAGAATTATTTTACCCCAGCCTTTTAAGAGTGTCCTTCACCCACTCATCCTCTGGATTTGCACAGACTTCATGGTAATTGGTGGTGTAGAAACTATGATAGACACATTTTAAGACAAACATGAGACACTGCTGATTTAATTATACATGCATAATCCATTACCTTAACAAAAACAATTTTATAACCAAAGTTATGAACAATAGATTAGTGACAGTAAATAATTAAAAAAAGGAATTTAAGGGAACAGACTAGAAGCTGAATTTCCTAAAAATATTTGTTTATCTATTTATTTATTAATTTGTTTTTATTTTAGAATGAAACCATGGTTTTCATTGATGGTAGTCATGTCATGTCATCTAAAGCTATATTTATCAGAAAATGAATACAGTCACACAGTGTAAGGGTAAATGGAGTAGATTCTTACATGATAGCTTTGATGCAGTCTCCCTGTTTTCTTTGCTCGCAGTAGCCTCGTATGTGGCGGATATTGACCACTTTATCATCATATCTTTTACAGCAGTCTCGCCAGGAGCAAATACCTACAGATCAAAAGGTCACACACAAAGCATGTGGTCTGTATTTCAGTCTGAATTGTACAGTTACATCTGATGGTGTAAACTTACCAGCAGACTCACCTGGGCTCAGTACCCCAACTATGATGAAAAGTGGGATGATGAAAACCATGATGCTTCTAAGAGTCATGATGAAGAGGCAGCAGGGAAAAAAAATAAAAATGCAACCACTCAGCATATCTGTATAAAGTATCTTTAGTCAGAGAGCTGCTTTTATAGAATCAAGACTGAGAACAGGAAGCCCAGGGCTGCATCATGGAAGCCAATACTCCTGATCGATCAGTTGCGGATCTAGGGGGTGGCTACTTGGGCTACAGCCCCGGATGTTTCCCCCAGAGCCACCTTCTGAGCTGTGCGGAGTAAAATGTGCAGTACCGAATTTCACCAGATGGTGTCAGCATGCGAAGGATGGTAGCAAATTTTTTGATGGATAGAAAAATAAGGGTGAAGATTGGGAATGATTATTCAAAAGAATTTATTGTGGAAAATGGAATACCACAAGGTAGTGTAATTAGTCCAATTTTATTTAATATCATGATTAATGAAATCTTTTCAGATACTGATAAATGTATTAAATCTGCATTATATGCAGATGATGGGGCCATATGGATGAGAGGAAAGAATATAAAACATGTAGTAGGAAATATTAAGAAAGCAATTAATAAAGTAGAAAAATGGTCTTATGAATGGGTTTTAAATAATCAGCAAACAAGTCTTGTTTCATGGTATTCACAAATAAGAGAAATATTGATATAGGAACAATAACATTATATGGACAGCCGTTGGAAAGGGTTGCAGAATTTAAATACCTAGGACTACGGTTAGATAGTTCTTATACATGGAAAATACATATAGATAACTTAGAAACAAAATGTAAGAAAGTTATAAATCTCCTAAAGGCTGTGGCTTGAAATAACTGGGGTGCAGATAGACAGTCATTATTAAACATAGGGCTCTCATGAGATTAATAATAGATTATGGCAGTTTTATTTATGGAGCAGCAGCTACAACAACATTACAAACGATAGATTACAGAGTAGAGCTTTACGTATATGTACAGGAGCAGTGAAAACAACAACTATCAACGCTGTTTTAGTCGAGACTGGAGAAACTCCACTGGAAATGAGAAGAATGAAATTTGGTTTAGTATATTGGATGAAAATTAAAAGTAGTATGGATGAAAATGTAACTTCAACAATTCTACAAACTTGTTGGGAATATTCAAAGTT